AGTTCAGGGATCTTGAGTCCAAGGGTACGCTGTACTTCACCTCTGACTCTTCTTTCTAGATGGCAGTCAAATCTCTTCTCTGCCTGTAGGAAGGTTCATTTTAAGCCTGGCAGAATGACAAAACTAACTAATCCCAACATCAGAGTTCAACACACCTTATTTGCGTGGCCCCACCCAGTAATCTGGTGGGAGTTACAAAGACTGGCTGGAAAAACCATACCAAGTAATTAACTGTATCACACTGGATAAGCCTTTAAAGTACGAATCTTGGGCTCCTATCCCACAAGATTGATTCAGTAGGTCAGGAGCAAGTGTCAAAAAATCTATTGGGTATTGATTTGTTTTTGTTTTAAGCTTCTCCAGTGAATGTCATGCTGCCAGTTAATTGGGCACTACTGCTATAGATTTCTCAGGATTCTGTTTATCTGAATTTGTCCTGGTGCTAATGAGCAGATGATACTAAGTGTCTCGTTATATACATCACAGCAATTGTGACTTTGAGTAACTTAAAGTTAGTTCTAATAGAACAACCCCTTATCAGTATTCCACCTTTCCTTTCCCCAGCTCAGTTCCCTGGTTTAGACACTCACCATCAGCTATATGCCTGTCCTGCCCCAGCTACACTCAACATCTCTTTGAGGCCAGAGCCATGTATTTCTTTGTTCCTCACCCTTTTTCTTTCTCTATCTGAGATTGTGGGGACCATTTCCCTTTACATGTCCCCTTTATTGATTGGAAAGGTATAGAATACTTACCCTTCTGCATACTCAGGTGCAGAGTTTGGGATTATGTTGAAGGGTAATATATTGACATTGCTATGAGTGGGGACCTTTGTTTCTAGCCAAAGGTTCCCAGTAACAAATGCTCTGCTGCTTTATATTGTGTCTTGGAGTGCTCTTATTGGAGGTTAGTGTTCGGAAGGGCTTTATTTATTTATGTATTTTTAAGTTTAATAGAATAAGAACCTTAGAGGTGGAAGGAAACCTCAGTAAGATGTTTTAGAATGGGATGAAAGAGGCCATGAAATGTGGAAAACAGCTACCTGGCCAACTGATTGGAAGAGATCCATATTTGTACCTATTCCAAAGAAAGGTGATCAAACAGAATGTAGAAATTATCGAATAATATTATTAATACCACACACAAGTAAAATCTAGCTGGAAGTAATTCAAAAACAGTTGTGTAAGGTGTACCTTATGAATAGCAAAGAAACCAAATAACATAGCAGGCCACTAATTCAAGTCCAGAAAAAGTTCCAAGATTGGCAGGCCATGGCAGGCTGGAAAACCATGACTCAGCTACATGCAGGGTTCAGGTGTGCCAAAAAGCTGGAGACCAATCCCAAAGTTTCTTCTTAAATACGGGAAGCAGACCACATCCCTAAAGTAGCTACTCAGTTGTTTGTGGCAGATTCCACCATGGAGTTGATTGCCAGTCTCATCATGGGGAATAACTACCACCAGCTGCCCAGCCACTCAGCCAGGCCCAGCCAAGTTGACATACAACCTTACCTACCACACACTCTTCCCACTTTCTTCTTGGTTCCCTGTTTCCATTCACCCATCTTTCCTGCAA